AAAACGAAAAAAATTTGATATACAACATAGTGTGTCTGAAAATTTTAATTTTTATTGTTCAAAACACACACACACATATATATATATCGTATCTGAAATAGATGCCATATTTTTGTTCATGAAACAGTGTGTAATATGTCTATTTGCCTGCGTAGTCGAGAAATCTGAGTGAACAAAATGCATCCCCTTTGTAAATAAAACCACTGATCAAGAGTGCTTTACCAGTTGGCTATAGAGAATGTCACGACAAGCAACGTTGTATTTTCCCTTTTTAAGGGAAGCACATCCTCTATAGAAACATGCTTGCTTTGGCATTCATCTGTTTTCTAGGGTGTCTATTTAAAATAGGAAGCATCCGTTATAATAACATTTGAAGTAATAAAAATGTTGTATTAAAATAAATCCATTAATTCTTTATATATATATATATATATATATATATATATATATATATATATATATATATATATATATATGAAATGAAAATCGAGAGATAAAACCAACAATATATATATATATATATATATATATATATGGATGTATATATATATATATATATATATATATATATATATATATATATATATTTTAATATATTTTCTGTTTATTCGTTATTTTTATAGATACACATTTTTAAGTAAATTCTTTTAATAATAAACAATATTAACATTTACCGGCCTGAATGTCCGAGAAATTTCATAGAAAATATGTGTCCTCCGACAGGAATCAAACCTCTATCCTACATGGGACTGTCATATATCCTGACGTGCTACACCATTTAGCTACAGAGGTAGCGTATGGTTAGCAAAGTCAAATTACTGTTTTTAAACAACAAATTTCCTATGACTTTTCTTGAACAATCATATCTGCTCAAAGCTAACACGGAACTGTCAAATAGCACATGTTATACCACTTAGCTACAGAGGAAGCGTCTGGTTAGAAACGTCAAATTATTGTTTTTAAACTAAATTTTTAGCTAAGTGGAATAGCACGTAAGCCTATATGACGGTTCCGCGTAGGATACAGGTTCAATTCCTGTCGGAGTACATATATTTTCTATGAAATTTCTCGGACATTCAATCCGGTAAATGTTGTTAATACCGTTTATTATAAACAGAGCATTTGCTTAAATATTTGCATCTATAAAAATAAGGTATAAAAATAAAATATATAAAAATAATTGTCTTACTTAGTCCATTTCATAATATTATGTATATATATATATGTGTGTGTGTGTGAGTTTATTTATTTATATGGATCTATATATATATGTGTGTGTTTGTGTGTGTCTGTGTGTGTGTGTGTGTGCGTGTGTATTTGATTCTGTGCCATGACCAAAATATAAATCTATGAACGCTTTTAATGTTTTCATATTCTTACATGAATTTCTCACTGCATTTTATCTGTGTGCAACTTTTATACGCTTAGATTTCTCTCACAGCGCGCATCGATGTCACCCGAGTCAGCCTCTGGGAAACCATTGGGCTAACCATCACTCTACGCCTCTGCATGTACGTGTATGTGCGCGAGTTTACGCGTCAATTTCTAGGTACCGATACGTGTACTGAATACCAGCCACAACTGTATTACCGTCGTAAGCACGTGAAAAAAAAGTCGGACCTATGGCTATGACGTTTTCTGACTAATTGTCTGCATTGGCACCCGTATGCGAATGTGCGTATCTGTACATGAGCCCGTGCACAAGATTTACCGCTTGAACTGTGTCCCTACTCGTTGTTGTGTTAGATCGGTTCTTACCTATATCCGTGCTGTATTTGTTGAATTATATATAAGTATATATGTTAAAAAACAACAACAACCTAATAACAGTCTGGAGAAATGTGTATGTGTGTGTGTGTGTGTGTGTGTGTGTGTGCGTGTAAGTGGCTGTGTTTGTGTGTGTTTATTAGTTTTTACGGCTTATCAGCCGTTCGTAGGTTATTTAAAGCAAGACATTGAGTACCTCGAGGTGGTGTAATGGTTAGCAAGCTTGTCTGGCTAGAACAATTACGACTGAGTAGTGAGTTCGATTCTCACTGGATGCCCCATGCTTTCGGCCATGTACCACATCTAAGCTACGCTTGGGAAATCACTATTTAAAACAAGAAATGCTAGAATTTTTTTTAAGATAATAATAATTTAGTGATACTAGTCTTAATAATAAATCCATAGCAGTTGTGGGGGGGGGTGGAAAAGATGTAGATTCATACCTTTTTAAACGATATTTGCACGTAAGTGAACATAACGAACGAGACTTGAATTGGAACTCGGCTCCGTTTAACAAATCCGAGCTACCCGCACGTCCAACATTACAGCGCCTGGAATTCTCAATCAGTCACCCTTCTAGGTACTGAACACGCTCAACGTTGCTTAACTTCAATGTGATGTAGCTGTAAGCCGTATATGTATGTATGTGTGTTTATAAATATACATGTTAAGAAGTATGTATGCATGATAAATAATGCATTAATGATAATTAAGAATTATATATATATATATATAACGAAACATTTATGTGTAGTATGAGTACTGGTATGTGTGTGTATTTGTGTGTGGTGTGTTGATAAATATATATGTTAGGGTCTATATATGCATGATAAAACCTCTATACTTATTAATTATATATAGATATATCGATACTAGAAAAATTACACGTATAAATACATGAGTGTGCAGATGTGTACCGCGATGGGTGTGTGTGCGATGCGTGTTCATAATATTATGCAGAAAAAATACTTTCTTTTCTAAACGTTATTTCCATTATTAAATCCTTTTTCATTGGACAAAGTCATCATTTATCAAATTTCTTGGAGTTTTCACCCTAATTTTTCTCAATGTTTGATTTGCGTTCTATTTCTTTTCAGGCAAAAACATTTATTTTTTAAACATTTTTTTCTCACTGATTACAGACAAACAGAATAATGATTGTAATTTTACTATTTGCTACTGCGTTACAAGCAAACATTCGGCATTTATTGACCGAGCAGACAATATGACCGTCGGTTGAAATTTATAAAATCTTACTTTTAAAACAGATTTTTTTTTCTCAAGTCCAGTAGCTGTTATAGAGCTTTCCAGTATTGATGGCGGTTTCCTTCCTAACTTTTTATTTAAATTAGTGTGGAATGTCAACATTATTTTCTCTTTGAGTTACATGTGATATCCGTTTGAGTTGTTGCTGTTGCGCTTGTTCATTATAACTTCATTAAATACTAGAGATATATGGAAATGTTATCTCTATAGCCAGAGATATAGGCACCTGGTAACAGATACATGTACATATTAATAAAGATATAGGATATACACATGGTTGTCGATATATACGTACTAATTATATGTGTGTGCGTGTGTGTTGTGTGTGTATGGGTGTATTTCGATAACTGAAAATACTTACAGGTGTCAAGATATATGTAGTCATTAGTAAGAATTTTCGATCTCTAGGCCGGTTGATATTAATTTCACTATTTAAACAAACAGTAATGTCTAATCAAAAGCTCGTCCCCATTAAATTTATCGTATTTATATTAATGTATAGCCTGAAGATTTTGTTCCAGCAGACAGTCCCCAGTCGTTGTTGACATCAGTGTCCATTATTATATTTACATAAGCCCTATCCTTGATATTGACGACTTTTATCCGTAAATATAGCATAACTGAAAACAATATTTTTTTTCATATATATATATATATATATATATATATATATATATATATATATATATATATGTATATAATCCCGTGTATGCATATATTATTTAATCAAATATATGCATATATATAGACATATGCTTGTTAATTGTACACACACGCACATATATATATATAGTGTATGCATGTGCATTTGTGTGTAAGCATATATGCGCATAAACAGTGATATTTATGTGTATATGTGTATACACTGTTACACTACGAGGGTGCTGAAAAGTTCTCAGTTCATCCATTCCCTAAGTTTGACAAAATGACCAAACATCAAACATCAGATTTTTTAAAAGGGTTTATTGATTGATTTTAGAATATTCAACACCCCTCGCATACACATATTCATCATCATGTATTTATTGTCAGGCGCATATATATATATATATATATATATATATATATATATATATATATATATATATATATATATATATATATATATGGTAATATATATATATATATATATATATATATATATAATGTATGTATGTAGACAGATTTGTATTTATGTTACTTGGACGAAGCATTCCATGTTTACTTTCCGAGAATAACATTTATATTCTCAACATATCATATCTCGTTAAAGCAGGGAATATATTTAATATGGACGTCACTTGTTATTCACTCGTGTTTGAACACATGTATCACCAACCCAGTCTTTTATTATTATTATTAGGACAAAAGTTCCAGTCCGTATTTCTCCACTGTTCAGTTTGCTCTTTTTTTCTTTCTTTTCTTTTTTTTTTTTTTTTTTTTGACATTCTAGTTTTTTTAGTTTTTTTTTTTCATGGCCTGAACAGAAAACAATAGGTGTATTTCGCTATTTTATTCTTCTAGATTGTTATATCAGTGCAGTGGCTTTCAGACTGTTTCGAATGTACATAAGGACTATATTGTTCTGTATTTGCAAGTTATTTATATTTGGCAATACCTTGTTTTCTTTATCTTTTTTGGGGGTTCTATCTTGTTTTGTTCTTTACTCTTCACCCAGCCGATAATGTATCATGTACTGTGTCACGTGTCAGAGTCCACACACTACCGTTATTGGCCGCTGAAGCATCGGTTCCGACTTTACGGTTTCGAAAACCTTTGCGCAAGACTTTTTGCGACATCCACCTGTTTTTAAGGGCGCGCCTAAAATCCTGTCTCATAAAAGTATAGAGCAGAGGATGGAGAAGAGCGGTAGAAAAGGCAACTGTCAGGCCAACAAAACGCAACATTTCCACAGTGACAGTCTGTATCCTAAGCCCCACACAGGACACAATAATGTGTGGTCCCCAACATATCACAAACGTACTGACTATCGCCAGGGTCATCTTGGTGAGCCGTCGATCCTGCACTTTCCACAATGATTCTTCCGCCGTAGAGCCGCCAGTAAAAGCCAATGTGGCCCTGATGAGAGCCAGTCGCACCGCTAGACGCTGCTTGGCCACGCGAAAAATATGATAGTAGCAAACGATCATGCCACTCATGCAGAGAAAAAAGAAAAACATGAAATAGGCCTCGTGGAAAGGAAAAAAATGTTTGAAATTTATGAAACAATGACAGGTTGGCGTTGAAAAGCACTGATCGCTGCTTGTCGCGTCTGCAACGGCGTCCGTGGTGCCGCTGAGCGCATTTAGAAACGCGCTGTTCTGTGACGTATTCATCTGTGGTTGGCCTGTCGGTTCGACTGGCCTGGCCGCCATTTCTGACAGTGTCGTAAAGTCGACACCGAAAAATGGGGAGCAGAAGCCGACGATAGACATGAACCAGATAGCCAATAATGTCTTTTTCATATTGAGCTGAATGACCTTCTTTTTTAGTGGGGTCACGACTGCCTCATAGCGGTCAATACTAATCGTGAGTAGGGTAATGGCACTAGCCGTGCTAACGAAGGATATATTGGCCTGGTGGAAGTAGCAAGCGAGACCCGGCCATTGTTCCTGGTAGTTTTGCAGCAAGACCAGAGTTACTGGAATGGCCGTTAAACATATTAGTATGTCGACAACATTCAGGTTGATAATGAGAAAGTTCTCAGTCTTTTGTAGTTTAAAGCTTTTATGGTAAGTGAGGAGTACAATAAAGTTAAAAGTAAGTCCACCAATACATTCTATTGCAAGAGCAATAGATATCGTGAGAACAAAGGCGGAGGAAAGATCGCTTTGTATTGAATCGGCCGAACCCATTTTGAAATTTCTCTATCGATGTACGCAGATATAACTTTATAGTTTATTCTCGAGTCGGATATAGAGAGAGCTCGCTGGACTGTGTTTATTAGATAACGGCATACATCAGCCACGTCGAGAACTCTGACAAAGTTCTTCTGCACATCAAATGACAGACTCAAATAATGCCTTAACTATTTCATTACTAGTATGTTACATAAGGTATTTATACCCAAAGTATTTAAATACTATATTTCGTTCTGTCTATATATTATACCATGTTCGTTATGCACGTTTTTATATGATGTATTCTATAAGAGTTTGTTATAAGAACTATTTTATAAGGGTTTGTATATCAATATATATATATATATATATATATATATATATATATATATATATATATATATATTTATATAAATTAGAGTGTATTCACTTATAAATTAAATAGTTGATATATCAGTATATAGTGTTTGTAGCTATGCATATTTGTTTCTCTAGATAAGTATATATAATGCGTTGGAAGTTATTGGTTTACGTACCGAGACAAAAAATGTATATATTATATTAATATTTATACGTAGATAGATCTTAAAGGGATGTACAAAAATAAACTCTTATTTCAACGATGTTTTTGAATGTATAAAATATATTGTACTGAATATATATATATATATATATATATATATATATATATATATATATATATATATATATGTATATAAATATATATATATATAAATATATATATATATATATATATTTATATATATACGCCTATGAAGTAGTGCATATATATGTTCTTGAATGTCTATTTTATATATTCTCTAATTTGTGTATATATAGATGTAGAGTGATTTTTCACGTATATTGGAAAACCAATGTAAGCTTGTAACGCACGAATTCTTGTAGATCAATATTATTATCAAATTCCAATTTGATTTACAAGTTCATTCTTGGGCGCACTTAATTCCGGTCATTTTTTTTGTTGTTGTCTACTTTGCATTATCTTTTGTTATACTACGTTCATCATCTATGGATGACTTAACGATAGCTGGTGGTGTTCATTGATTTGATTCTTACCGATGCCAGTGAGAATCAAGAGTAAATGTTGATGTTTGGCACTTTAAACAAACAAACCAAAAATGGATTGTCTTCAATCCACCAAGATTAATGGTTAATCCAAGCAAAAGCCTTGCAAAGATAGATTTAGGGAACAGTGCTAAAGTGTTTTTTTCTGATATTGTTCTACTTCTGCAATTTTTGTCGATAATTTGTAGCACGAATCGCTGAGTGTTTCTTTGTTATACATCAGCTTCTTCCTCAAATTCTCAAAGAAACTTCCTTATCATTAGAATTCACTTCGTGTACTTTGGGAATTGGAGGTGCAGTAACAACAAAGATTGTATAGAGTTCTTCAAATTGCATGTAGTATCTTTCTGGAAGATAGTATATTAAATTATAGAGGTAAATCCTGTTGTTTTTCTTTTAATTTTATTTTAGAAGTGGAAATGAAAACATGTCCTTTATTCGTTCAGAATAATTTTGCATATATTTCGTTGTTAGCCAGGTATATACTAGTGGTACTTTTTCTAGAAAGAATTATGTTCTACCGCTATTCGAGTTTTTGTGTAAGCATCTCTGTTATTGCGCAATTTATAAATGCAAACTTGTTTCGTCCAAATAAAATGTAGGAAGGAATGTTATTCTCTTTTTATGAAAAACCACGCTTTATATGAACTCAACCAATCTTCCTTGCTGATTCAAAGATGACCAAAATTTAAAATGCCACATATTAGCACAGGTATTTTTATAAATATCAATATCAATAACCTACTGAACTCTTTTCTATATAATAAACAGATTATTGATATATCACAGAATTTTAGAAGACATCCTCTCTAATTAACAGCAACATTGGTTAATCCAAGCAAAAGCCTTGCGTAATTTCTGTTGTCGCTTGGAAACGCCTCAATTATTTGTGTGGGAAAGTAAAGCCGTTTATAGTCAGATTCATTCAGCACGCATGCGCATGCTAAAGAAATTTGCGGATCTCTTTTGTAATGTTGTATGGGATAGTTTTAATGACCTCTATTTTGTCTCTGTTTCCTTATAACGAAAATCCAAAGTAGTTTACTGGTGGACGATTACAAGATGGAAGATGCTGGTGGCATAAAACGCGAAGAGTTTTCAAGAAGGTTATATGATGAAAACTGTTTTGGAAGTATTGCAAATAGAAAACTGATGAATTAATGCCAAGGAAGACCAGTGGAAGTATTGAAGACCCATGGAATGATTTACAGTGCCATTCCAGTTTATGGCATCGTTTTTTTAAGTTCTGATATTGTCAGAATCAGACATGTCCAAGAGGAAAGACTTGCTGTATGCAAGCCTGTTGGAGTCCATAATTGGATATTAAATGACCGATTTCCCATCGGTGCTATTCAGGCTGAACTCTCAAACGCCACAAATAACAAAATTTAATTTAATTTCCAGTTAGAAATGAAACTCAGGGCAAAGAGATATTTTTCTATATGTTCAAGTGGTCCTCTTAGAATTAAAAATCTTGAGTATTTTTTTTATTTATTATTATGCTTTTTCTTATATTTGGTGTTGTTTTTCTGTAACGTACACGTCTATGCCTCTAAATAAAATATAAATCACTCATTGTTAGTTTATAATAGAATACCAACAAGTTTATCTGTGTGTCTTAGGGGCTTTCATATGTTTCAGTTTCTTTTAATGACTCCTTCGTTTATTTTTATTTCTCGAATATTCCAATATGTCGGAGGCTTGATCACCTCTTGGAATCTCCGCTTTTCTCCGGAATGTTTTTCTGATTTGGGCCAAATGTATTCTTTTACGAAAACATTCGTTTTATATCACATCACCGTTCAACCTGAAAAGAGAAATTGAAAACGTAAAAAACAAAGAAATAATATTATTCAATAGTCACTATAAAATTCAACAAATTAGCTCATATTTCAAATATAATGCTAATTAATTTGTATACTTAGTAATATTTAATACTACGATTCACCCAATAAAAGGTTCAAGAACTGCTAAAGGTAGAAGGTTACTGTCAGAATCGTAATGATAAATCAGGTGTGTAATATGAATAAAAAAAAGAGTTTCTTCATTTCGTTTTCTACGGTTTATCAATCATTACTAGGCTACTCATTTAGTGATACTAGTTTACTAATTAACCCATAGCCAAGTGGAGAAGAGGTTAATTCATAGGGTTTTTATTTGTAAGTCAATATAACGAACCCAACCGGAATTGGAACTCGGCTTTCCATTTGATAATTCCGAGCCACCCACACACTCAATCTTACAGCACCTGGTATTCCCAAACGATCTCCCAAGTACTGACCACGCTTAACTCCGATGATTATACGGAAACCTGTGTTTCAACAGGATGTGGCCGTAAATCCTGAAAGAGGAGAGGCAGGAAATAAAGATTATGAGGCCAAGGACGAATGAATGAAGAGATTAAGTTAATAGCGTTCAGGGAAGTACCCACATAAAAGACTGTTCTGCAAAAATGGCTGTTCTTGGGGGCAAAGCTGCCTCAGTGGAACTTCTTTTTTTTTTACATTTGGGACACAGTGGAAATGAGGGTGATTTGACTCCATGGGTGATGATGAGTTCTAGTTGTAATGGGATAAATTGGTGGAACTAAAGAAAAGTCTAAATGTCTGGCATTATATGACCTACAAAAGGTCGATAAACCATAGGAAAACGAATCAATGAAGAAACTCTTTTATTCATATCACACACCTGATTTATCATTACGATTCTGACAGTAACCTTCTATCTTCAGTGGTTCTCGAACCTTGTATTGGGTGAAAGAAAAGAGCTCAATTAAAAATTTTCATTGAGAAAAAGGCCACATAATGGTGAATATAATTTCCACCACAAGAATTCTGCATTCTCTCAAGGCTGGAATATAGGGGTTGAGCAGCTCCAATCCAGATATGGTAGTATTATTTCATTGTTGGTCTAATCTGATTCTTGTAAAGATAATCATGGCAGAAGGTGTCAGGTACTTTCTGGTGCGATAGAATAAACCAACCATTTTCCTAGCATCTTTAGCAATGGATTGTGTATATATATATATATAGATTCTACTTGAAGTCTGGAGTGAAGCTGAGGTCCAATAGACATTCAAATATGGAGGCTCACTGACAATGCAACCGCTCATCGCAACTGGAGAAAACTCATGGTTTGATCGGTGATGATGAAACGATAGTAGCTTGTTGCTTACCACATCTAAATTCAGTGACATCACTTGCTATGGAAGATTCAGTCTTTATAATCAAACTGATATTTTTTTTTAAAAATACGCTACATAGACGTACTTTATTATCTAGAATGAAAGACCGGCTTCTAAATTTATCTAACCGGTGAGTTAAATCAATCGAAACCTTAAGTACTCAGATAAGAACTTAATAATTCCTGATAACGATACAATGAAACTCTGTTGTGTGGTGATATATATATATATATATATATATATATATATATATATATATATATATATATATATATGTGTGTGTGTGTGTGTGTGTGTGTGTGTGCGTGTGTGTGTGTGAAAAAGTGTATATATATATATATATATATATATATATATATATATAATCATTTATATATTATATGCGCGGTACTTATTAGAAAGCGCTGAATATCAGAGATAGAGCTAACATATTTGGTTGGATTGATGTGGCTTTGTGACCCAGGTTTTCGCGCTTTTTTTTTTAATTTTGGGTTTATTTAGATTGCGTGCCCGCCCACTTTCATAATAACA